AGAGAGAGAGAGAGAGAGAGAGAGACATACAGGAAGGAAATAATGAAATTAATACTTTTAATTCCAAAAGGACATATTAAATTGATCAAAAGTGACAGTAAGAAAAAAAAAAGTGGTTACAAAATATTTCTATTTAATATTTCTACTTTCTATACATCAAAGAAATCAGAAAAAAATAAATCACGGTATCCACAAAAATATGAAGCCACACAACCGTTTTCAAAATTGACAATAATTAAGCAGAAAACCAGCTTATTAGTATTATTTCTGAAAGATCATGTGACACTGAATACTGGAGTCATGGCTGCTGAAAAATCAGCTTTGCATCACAGCAATAAATTAGATTTTAAAATAAAATAAAATAGAAAACATATTTTAAATTCTAATAATATTTCACAGTATTACCGTTTTTACTGTATTTCAAATAAATGCAGCCTTGGTGAACATAAAAGACTTTGTTTAAAAACATTAAAAAATCTTACCGACTCCATACTTGTGAACAGCAGTGTATGTGATAGAGTTTGACTACACTATTTTTTTTTATTCCTCCCATTTTAATTTTCCTAACCTCAGTGCAGATAATTAATGCAGGTAAGGTTTGCTCTGTCAGCTGTGATGGCTGCCTCTAATTGGGGGCTCAGTGGTTGGGAGTTGTCCTGTGGGGTCTCTCGGGCCTGTATTTAGCTGCAGGGGAGATGTGTGACCGGGGTTTTGGAAGGCTCTTCCATGGCCAGTGTAAATGAGCTGGACTCCAGCCACAACAACAACCTCAGAGAGACGCTAATTTCTGCAGCAACGGCGAAACTCAAAGTCAACGCTGTGAACTTGTATCCTTTGCGCACACGCATCTAATGTGTCACCGGCATTTCTAATCTCATGGGTACAACCCAGACAGACAAGTGCTATTTCAAGGAACTTGTAAATGATTTTATGAGCTAACTGTTGTGGTGCACCAGGGTGGTGAAAACGGCCTTTACATGAACATGAGAAAGACTGGGTGTTTCCTTCACACCTTCATTCAGCTCAAGGATAATTTCACTCAAAACAAGAGCTGAAAATATTGCTATGCATTCCTGTTTAAAAATTCAGGCCTGGTACATTTGCAACTCTCAATAACACACTAGTATCAAAACAACAGCACTTTAAGATTAATATAGTTTTGGGTGGAGGAGTGTTAAATGCAACTTGACTAGCACAGAAAACTCAACTCGTTCCTTTGTTTGTAAAACAGGCTAAAATGTAGCAGGATAGTGCACTGCAGTGAAATGAGAAGCTAATATTTTTTTGTTATAGCACTTTAATTAATTGTATATCAAATCAACCTTTTGAGGTTAGACTCTTTTTCAAGGTGGAACTTCACTTACATCTCCATTTATGCATTTGGCTGACATTTGATCAAAAACAGCTTACACTGCATTCAAGGTATACATTTGATCAGTTTATGCACTGTCTGGGAGTCGAACCCATTACCTTGGTGTTGCTAGCACCATGCTGGTTGAGCTACAGGAGCTACAATGTGGATAAAAGTGCCTGCCAAATGTGTAAATGTAAATGCAGATGTAGATGTCAAATTTTGTCCTGGTATTCTCACTTCAGTATCATGCTAGCACTCTTAAAACAGAAGCATATTTAGAACAATAACTTACTGGCCAGTCATTGCAATTACATTTTTCTAAAGGTTCGTTTTTACAAATTGAAGGACAAGACTAAATTGTTTTCTGTGTTAATCAACAGCATACAGCTTCAGTATTCAAAGCATAAAACTCTTTAAAAATCTCTCAAAGAAATCCAAAGTAAAGCTTTGAGCCCATCTATTTGTCATGTAATAGTAAAAGTGGACAAAATTTTACTTTAAAAAAATATATCGAGGAAAACGGATTCCTCTTGTATTAACAGCTATACACTACTGTTCAAATGTTTGGGGTCAGTAAGATTTTCTTTTTTTTAAAAAAGAAATTAATAGTTTTATTCAGCAAATGATGCATTAAATGGAACAAAAGTAAAGACATTTATAATGTTACAAAATAATTATATATATAAAAAAATGCTGTTGTTTTGAGTTTTCTAATCATCAAAGAGCCCTGAAAAAAAAGTTTCTACAAAAAAAATATTGAACAGCACAACTGTTTTCAACATTGATTATGATAAGAATTTAAATAAGATAATCATTTATTGAGCACCAAATCAGCATATCAGAATGATTTCTGAAGGATCATGTGACTGATGCTGAAAATTCAGCTTTGTCATTACAGGAATAAATTAGATTTTAAATTATATAAAAATAGAAAACATTTATTTTAAATTGTAATAATATCTTTATTTTTGATCAGATAAATGCTCTTATAAATGGTGAGTATAAGATACTTTTTTTTTTTTTCAAAAGATTTAAAAATCTTATAGACCCCAAACTTTTAACCTGTAATGTCTCAAAATTTCAGACAAATTTTCTCTAGATTGACAATATCTCTCTCACCAATGTCACCTGCATATTAGCAAGTAGCGACTGACATAAATAAGACTACTGGCTATTTTTTTAAAAAGAACACATCATTCAATACACCCACCTCAAACTTTCTGTTTCAATAGTAAACACAACAAAATGTAACAGGGGCCGACAAGCTCCTCCATCACCTTTCTAAAACACGGCACAAGGTGTCTGCCACATCTGCTTTGTGTTCCATTCATTACTCTTATTGCTCATTAATTAAGCTCTAAAAATACCACAAATATAGCAGCCTCCTTGTTTGGGTTTGCCTCTGACAGATAATCACACGTGTTTATGGCCATCGTCTCTATCAGCAGCCATTAATAACAATGCAGCCATACACAGGCCTCCATTAATTACTGTGTAAAACATGAGCTGGATCAGATGGCCCTGATTACAGGAAGAGACAGAGGGAGAGGTGTCCAGAGGGGCCCACCAAACACCTGGAACATTCACTCATACTCACAGAGCCATCTATCCGCACTTTATCAACTGTCTAGGTCTCTTTCTGTACCGTCCTCCCCCGCACCATCCTGCCTGGCTCTTCCTCTTGTTTGCCAGCAGCGACAACCTGCTATCGACTCCAACTAACTATCTGTAAGAGCCTCTTTATCATCCCGGCCTCCTGTGTGGAGTCACGCTGTAAACCTAGAGAGAGAGTCACACCACCTGGGCCTCCTCAGAGAGGCTGATTAACTCGAGCATGAAGAGCAGAGTGACGTGGGCGAATCACAGCTGTTAAGTCCACAGGCTTAAGTCTGAGTCAGCACTTTTAAGTCAATAACGCACAATATGGGCCGATCAAAGAAAATGTCAAAACACATCTGGCTTTTCAGGTGCATTTCAATCATACACTGAAATGCTGAAAGTGGTTGATTTTCTGTACTGTACTCGGGACTCTACAGGACCAAAATGTTTCTCAGCATTGAACAGTGACTTTATAAAAAATGGCAAGATAATAAATGGTATAAATGAACTGTAAGAATGAAAGTTAGAACTTCAGCGATGGAAGCGACAAAGCGATTCAAAATCTATGAGCTGAAGAAAACATCTGCTGCAACTTGCACATGTTCAAATCACATTTACCTTCAGAACTTTATAATCAGGACTTTATTTCTATATAAATCAAATATGCAAGCAGTGTTGGGGGTAACACATTACAAGTAAGTTACGTAATCAGATTACTTTTCAAGTAACTAGCAAAGTAATGCATTATTTTTAAATTTACAATAAAATATTTTTCAAATAAGTAATGCAACTTACTTTGTTTTCCAATTTATTCACTGACACCTCTCCTGCCCCATGCTGAGAGAAACTGGGAGCGAGGCGCAGAGGCCAAGGCACTTCCTTTAGCCTGACGCTTATTAATTTCACTTTTGGTGTGAAAGGGCCCTTACAGTTGCCAAAAATAGAACTTTTTTTGTTATTAAAAAACAAATAAGCAAGCCCAGCCCAGGTGACAAAAAGTAACGCAAAAATAACGTAATGCATTACTTTCCATAAAATTACTTTTTTGGAGTAAAGCAATATTGTAATGCATTACTTTTAAAAAGTAACTTTCCTCAACACTGTATGCAAGTGTTGTTGTTGTTAACTAAAATGTATAAATAATCTGTTAATTGAAATATAGCTGAAATTAAATATAAAATATAAAATTAACTACCTCAAAAAAGTGAATTATAGAAGTTAAATACACATTTTTTTTCCCATAAAAGGTACAGTAATTTGCATAGGAGTAAAACGATAATGTGACAGTGTTAAAAGCAACATCCCCCTATACAGGTAATGAACATGAACAGAGTCTCGCACCTTCATGAAGGCCTGGTGGGTGGCACAGGTGAGCTGCTCATGCTTGACCTTCACTCTGCCTGCTGTAACATTGGATGTGCCGTTTCCATTGAAATAAAAACGAGAAGGGAAGCCATCTTTGTGATGAACATCAGCTGTTATGTTGTACTTCAGTTCTGCACAGGAAACAACATGACATTCAGAGACAAAGTTACAGCCAGGCATAGACAGCCTGTTAAATCTTCAGAACAATTCAGAAACTCATTGTGATTTTGTGGTGAAACGCTAGTGGTTTGTGATGGAACGGCAGGGGAGTTGTAAGGAGCTGAAAAACAGATTGTCCATGCAAAACTAAATTAAATAGTATATGTGACCCTGGACCACAAAGTCATAAGGGTCAATTTTTCAAAATTGAGATTTATACATCAATTGAAAGCTGAATAAATAAGCTTTCTATTGATGTATGGTTTTTGTTAAGATAGGACAATATTTGGCCGAGATACAACTATTTGAAAATCTGAAATCTGAGGGTGCAAAAAAATCTAAATATTGAGAAAATCGCCTTTAAAGTTGTCCAAATGAAGTTCTTAGCAATGTATATTACTAATCAAAAATTAAGTTCTGATATATTTACAGTAGGAAATTTACAAAATATCTTCATGGAACATGATCTTTACTTAATGTGCTAATGATTTTTGGCATAAAAAAAAATCTATAATTTTGACCCATGCAATGTATTTTTGACTATTGCTAATATTAACTAGTTTTGACTCTGAATTCTGATTGGATGAGCTGCATTCAAAGCCGCTATGATGTTCTTCTGTGACTGTCAACAAAAACTAAACGGTTCTACCCTTGTTTGGGACATCCCGCTCTTTATTATCTCACTTTTAAAACACACGCAGCCGTCCTGTAAGCTGACAGATATACTGTACAGATATATCAATCTACTGTGGTATAAACGCTATAGCAAAATCTCTGGGTGGCATATTTCTGCTGTCGCTACTTCATGTCAGTTTCAAGATTATGAGTATTTGTCATCAAGCACGGCTCTGTTGTTTACTATTTGTTCAGTGAGCGTGGATCTATCAGTGAAGGCAGGCCTTGACACACACCCTGAGCCCTCTAACCGCCACGACAAAAGAGGGGATGTGGGGCAGAGATAAAGAGCTGGGAAAGATGTCTGAAACACAGCGACCTGCCACTGCCTTCAGCACGTGCTGATAAGAGGAGCCAATGCACAGCCTCACGCAAACAAAGAGTTCGAGTCCATCCTTGAACACTGTGTACTCAACTCTGTGAGCACGTGTGCAGACCTGCCAAGCTTGGAAAAAAATTGAGTAGCATCAGTATGACGGGACGGGACACTGGGTTTGGGGGAGGGGTTTCATATATTATGGCTAATGTCAAAATCGTAATTGCACAATGTGCAAAATGCAAGATTTAATGTTAAATATTTTCAAAGGTTAGCAGGTCTGCACTCAGTCACACACACATTACACATTAGTCAATCCTCCATGCTTGCTATTTGGGGAATGAACTCTTCTTCTTTTGCTGTTGCTTGATTTGAGTCACTAGGTTTTTGCGTAGTTTAGAGTGACAAATCGTTTTTATATAGACAAATCTACTTTGAGGTCAAAATGCGTACCCGCTATGCAACATGCGTACAGGTTGGCAGGTCTGCATGTGAGGAGCTCAAAATAGCATAGGTCACTTCACATCGCATCTCAAAAAAGTCAGATAGCACTGCAAGAAGTTGCAGAATGTTCTTGTATCTCTCTAGGGTTTTACTGCACAAATACTGTGGATTTAGGGGAATTTTAAGTCAAAAGTACAGTTTTTAAAACACTTTTTAACATAAGATTATATCCAATGGGTATTACTGTCTTACCTATGTTTCCCGGGATTTGTTTTCCTCCGACTCTGAAGCACACCATAACATTGACACACACTGCAGCAAGACCATTTTCAGTACACTGGGCTATGGACCGGTTCAAGCTCTCAGGCAACAACATGACAGCATCCACCTTCACTACTGGACGCGTTCTGAAACAACAAGAGTTAATGGGTTAGTCGTCAAGTCAAAAAATTAACAGGGGAGGCCAGGGCTATCTGGAGATTTTGTCAAATAGTATGATTAATTAATTATTGGTATATTTTTATTATATTTTATAAAAAAATTGTATTACATTTTTTCTTGATCTTTCTTTATCTTCTTTTCAATTTAAAGCGTTTCATTTTTTTGTTTTTGATTCAATTTAGTTGACCAATTTAACCTAATATTGATTTTTATTGGCAGGTTCCCACTGTGACAACTTACCCCATATAACAACATCCCATGCCTGCTGAAGTGTCTATTTTACATTTAAAAATGGTGAAATGGTTTGAAATTCCATGTTTATGTAGCCAAGGCTATATAATAGAGCCTATACAGACTTTAACATAATAGTCTCCCTGAATAATATTCATTGGGGTAAAAAAACAAAAACAAATAACAACTAGCCCCAGTCTCCACTACAGCTAGGCCCAGGCGTAATATGCAGATTTTGGGCATTTTCTGTGCTGATTTTTCAAGATAATTTTCAGAATTCTGTGGAATGTATTTAAATGTGCTAAACTGAGTTTTATTGGTAACTGAAAATATAATAGAAATAGATTACATTTAGAATAAAAGAATACATTTAAAAAACACATTAGGAGTTATGCAGAAACAATGTCCTACCGCCAATACCAAATCTTAAAGCCTGAAGATACCAAAGCAAATGTGTGTGATAAATTAATCTGCTGTTTTTACCTGAACACCACAGCTGAGTCTGACAGGAAAGCTCCCACTGCAACATCTGGATAAGAACATAAAATTCCCATAAAACACACCTGACTTCTTGTTTCACACATTTCAACTCAACAGTCCACAGATATTCTTTAAAATATTAAACATTTCTATAAACAATTTTTACCACACATTGTATTGTGGGAAACAGTGTTCCAATTGCATACACCACACTTGTGAAAAAGTAGTAGGTATGGTATTTCATTCATACAGAAAATTGGCATACTGTTCACAGTATACATACTACTTTTTTACAAAACAGTATGTAGCACTTATCCATTCTGGATCTGTGCTTTTTTTCTGCCTTCAAAAAGTTTACTATTTTAAGACAGGAAATAGAGGCTGAGAACAAGTTCTGACACATCTGACATGATCATGACCTTTCAAAAAAGAAAAAAAGCGTCAGCTTGATTTTGTGTCTATTCTTGATTTGTGATACATATTCAGGAAGCACATCACTGTTGACACCCATAGCATATTTGATTAAACAAAAAGGCTGATCTAAAAAAAAACATGTGGCAACATGCCGTTTCCTTTAAAGGGGTCATATGATGTTGCTAAAAATAACATTATTTTGTGTATTTGGTGTAATGAAATGTGTTTATGCGGTTTAAGGTTAAAAAAACACATTATTTTCCACATACTGTACATTATTGTTTCTTCTCTATGCCCCGCCTTTCTGAAACGCGTCGATTTTTACAAAGCTCATCGGTCTGAAAAGCGAGGTGTGCTCTGATTGGCCAGCTATCCAGTGCGTTATGATTGGCCGAATACCTCAAGCGTGAGACGGAAATGTTACGCCCCTCACCATACTGTGATGGAGCGACGAGACAAAAACATTAAAACCCATTACAAACGAGGCATTTGTTGCATCCAGTGGGGACATAAATACGGATTATAATGACTTATACTGTCTGTTTACGCGTTGCATTGCATCGAGCGGCGTAAACATAACAAAACAGTATGTAGCACTTATCCATTCTGGATCTGTGCTTTTTTTCTGCCTTCAAAAAGTTTACTATTTTAAGACAGGAAATAGAGGCTGAGAACAAGTTCTGACACATCTGACATGATCATGACCTTTCAAAAAAGAAAAAAAGCGTCAGCTTGATTTTGTGTCTATTCTTGATTTGTGATACATATTCAGGAAGCACATCACTGTTGACACCCATAGCATATTTGATTAAACAAAAAGGAGCATCATATGACCCCTTTAAAGAGGTGTTATAATATGGCCATGTACACACGCTAGCTAAATTCGGTCACTGCTCTTTATTGTGCATGCAGAGTTTGGTTGTTTTCGGAAGTAGCAACCACATTTGACAAGTGAATTCACTTCCAAAAAGTCAGGGAGTGATGACCACATTTACATTAAATACAAGTAGTGTGCACAGAACTGAACAACTATACATCGAGGCAGTAACACCACTCTCTTTTAGGCACTAATAACTTGTCTGAGGTCTAAATCATCGTATTTCCTGTCAAAACTAGCAAACACCAAACAGGTACACTACCCTTCAAAAGACTGGGGACAGTGGAGACAGGGTTTTTTTTTTTTTAAGTCTCTTATGCTCACAGAGGCTGCATTTATTTGATCAAAATACAGAAAAAAACTGTTATATTGTGATATATCATTACAATTTAAAAATAAATCTTTTCTCTTTTAATATATTTAAAAATTTAATTTATTCCTGTGATGCAAAGCTGATTATAAATGTTGAATATTTTTTGTGGAAATGGTAAAACATTTGTTTCAGGATTCTTTGATGAATAGAAAGTTAAGAAAAACAGCACTTATTTGAACTCTTTTGAATGTCTTTACTCTCCCCTTTGATCAATTAAATGCATCATTGCTTAATAAAAATACTAATTTCTTTAAAAACAAATTACTATCCCCAAACTTTGGAATGGCACTGTACATTATTTTGGTCAAATCATCAAATTCTAACATAGCATTGCATATACTGTATTATATAATATGATATACATATGATATATTATTCATAAAAAGCATTCCCATAAAGCACTGAAAGCTCAGTGAAAGCATCCATTTCAGAGAAATAATTACAAATATACATAAAATGCATGCAATATTGACAAGAACTAATACAAATAGTTTAATATAACTAAAAATCCATTTAGTGTGCTAGATATTTTTAGGTTTATTAGAATATCACATTAGGATGTTAGGATGAATATCACGTTAGGATGTTTTCTCAGGAGGCAGCTGCCTATGTAGGTAATAGGCAGCTCACTAGGTTTTATAACAGAGCAGATTCTAATCACGAAAAACTTTATTTATTTAATAATTTTGGTTTGAAAATGAATACTTTTTGCTGATGCACTGGCACTAGTCAGTAACAATGTGACACTGTGGCAAGTAAGTTAAAGTATGTGTGAGTGGGTGTGTTGCACTCTTTTAACAGCGATTTTAACTGTAGTCCATTATAGTAGTACAGTAGTTGTTGTTAATCTAAATTTGTTAAACTAATCATGTTCTGTCTCTAAACCACACCCACCGCTCTACCAAGAAAAAACCAAGATCATCTCCAAATCTGATTCAGAGATTAACCAATATCTAGCCATGAAACCACTCTAATGTGAAGATGGGGTTTCAGTGACAGAAGACAGGCTTTGAAATGTAAAGAAGAAACAAAATGATGAAGTGAAACATTGAGGTTGACATCAAACCTTGCTTGCTGAAAAAAAAAAACTTTCTAAGTACAATATTAAAATACAGCAAAACATGATACAGCAACTTTTGAAGAAACGTGGCTAGTCAAATAAAGCAATTCAGCGTGAGAAATGTACAAACTGAAAATGTTTATAAAAGATCCATACACAAACATTGATGTGTTAGACATACAGTACTGTACCTGGATATCCGTCATCGTCAATATCACCAAGGTTCACGATGGTTTCTCCAAAACGTGCTGCGTAGGAGTCACTCCCAACTAATTCAAAGTCTGCCTCTTTCAGTTTAGCCTGAGAAAAAGACACAGTGATACTAAGGATATTTTCAAGAGAAGCATGACGTTAATTATTATAAGCAGATACACAATTAGCAGTCTAAAATGTGAATTAGTAAAATCTGACACATCTTTCTGCAATTTATTTATACATCACTGTTTAGACCCCAATTAATCATAAATAAAGTCTCTCAACGCAGTCATATATTGTTTACACTACACACAAATGACTGCAATGCACTAGTTTTACAGTTTCCTGTGTTAGCCGTTCATTTACAGCAAAAGCTCTGACCAAATAGTTTTTGCACTTCAACTGTGACCAGAAAATGCGCTTTTGCTAGAGGTACAAAAAAAAAAAAAACAATGCAGTAAATGGTGACAGTCAAGCAGTCACATGTGAAATGTTAAAAGCAAGGTGCTTCGTGATGTAGGTGGTTAAGTTTTGACATTATGGGAAAAGGAAACCTGTTCTATTGGTATGGCCTTGGTGGTCACGATCAAAGCCAACATACATACTTTTACACTGAACAAACAACACAATAAGATAAGACAGCTCTAAATATGTAGACGTGTCATTTCATCAAATGCATTACAATGGAACTCATACCTTCCTAAAATTACCGATATAGTTAGGAATATATGGGTGAATCTCATCAAACCCAGCAAGAACACATACCGGTCATATTCCACTCCAAAAGCTTTATGGTTTAAAAAATTTATTAAAAAATTATTTTCTCAATTTAGAGATGCAAATTGTCTAAATTTATATAAATGTATAAAATATTATTTGTAAAAAATAATTGAATTATTAAATAATATATAATATAAAATATATTAAAATTATATATTTATTTTAGGGCTGTCAAAACGATTAACTGCGA